GTTGTCAGTCTTCGATCTGTCCCACATTAATCCCGAGCTGATCATCATGGGCCCCGAATATCCTGCGGGAAGAACCTGCATTTTTACTTCACGACGTCCGGATTTCAAATCAACATCCTCAATAACATTAACAATCCTTCCTGATCAGGATCTGTCTCTATTAGCAATTTCCAAAATATCCTGACTCTCGTGGAACATTTCACTGAATTAATTATTACCGGTTCTTTAAGTTTACTACCCCTTGCCCGACACTGTACTCGTATCTAAATCTTACCCTTTCCCGTATGTTACCCTTGTTGATTTTACTTTTAGCCGACCCTGACATATGGGGGTGATTTGAGGTATCCTGCAAATGAAGCGGTATGCAGTACAATTGACAATACAAAACAGTCACAGTAGATGTTGGAAGGTGTATTTACACTTGCTTCCTGGACCTGGCTGTTCCTCAGTTTCCCTGATCTGTTCTTGCCCTTCTTCGAACTGTAAATGAGCCATGAGACCAAGTAGACGTTTTCGTGATAAACTGTAAAACCTCTCTATACCGGGTTTCTCACGGTATAAAGCGTTTCATAAACCTCATTAAGAGCCATATAAGATACACGTACTGTGTCGTGTTGTGATTGAATATAGCTCGATATGTATTACTACTTAGTTTACATCACCCACCAAATGCGATATGAACAACTCGGTTTGATTGTTGAGGAAAAGAAGAGGTCTGGTAATACAGGTAGGCCGGTTTAGATTAGCACAATTGACGGTACAGAGAGGTTTTATTTATAACAAATGTGATTATCTTAACCCCACTGATTCATCATTGAAATCAATAAAATGACAGTACAGAAGGCTATCGTTTCGATCTTGACTGTGCTTGTATCACGTTGCGACCCCCACGGTCGTTTCACTATGGTCCTGACGATACAGGGGGAGCCGCGCACTTCGTGCGCGGCGGGTCATACAACGTATCGGTATGACAAGACTGTGCCACTGGTGCAGTTTCTGTGAAAATCGATAAGGCTGTATTGTAATTAGTTATGAAACTCTTATATCGCGATCGTATGGTTAAACTTAACGTTTTTCAGTTTCAGACCTTTCCACTTAGAGTTAGTAATTCCTGATTATTACTAAAATCTGCCGAGATTTACTGAACTCCAACTACAAATATTGGTGATTTAAGTATTCTTAATTGATAATTATCCAATTAACTTATTATCTGACGTAAAAATTGTTAGAACAAAAGTTTTTCTTCCTGATAATATGAACACACTCGATTGATTCGCAACTTTTTACGATGTTCACAACTAAAGATATTCGACAAACAAGAAAGGTGGTAAAATGTGGTAAAGTGGCAAAAAGTGGCCTTAAGACACGTGGAAAAGTTTGGAAAAGTTGGTCAGCCATAAAGGGCACCTAATGGGACTCAAAAACGTCAAAAATCCTCTGAAAGCTTCGTGTGTCAGCAGATCGATTTTTTCAGACGGATTTCCCTGTACTAGTTAACGATAAATCAGTTCTTCAATGTAGAATGATATTAAGAAATCGATTCATATAAATCAGTTACACAGCCAAATTACCATCATATTATACACAGTATACCTCACAGACCGCGGTTTGGATATTATATCTCATACTAGTCAGAATTCGGTCAAACCACCGCCGCCGAACAATTTTGGCGTCCAGACCGCCGCCGCCTAAAAGTAACACGGTGCAACTGCACATCTCTGATGGTAACTGTATCATGATGTGAAACCATTTCAATTATTTCTGAGCGAGCCCACACCAATTTCCGATGATAATAAATAGTTAAGTTGTAAATGGCAAAATAATGATAGCCAAAATCCTGAAGCTTTCATGGTTCTGAATTTATATTTATGTTTTAGAACTGTCCACTATGAGTATGATATAGCAAAGTTATAATAGTCATGGGCGGCTCTCAAGAAACGAAATGGTTATTAATTTAGTGCTGATCCGTTAAGATATTGGGCATTGGTACGTATGCACAAATATTAACATTTGAAATAAAAAGCTAAAGCAGATATAAATGTGGAAACACCATGAGAAAAGAGACAAGATATTGATTGTGATCATTAGCGGCTAGGACTGACGTCTGCGCCACAATATAATGGCGGTAACTACTAGTACTACCACCATTACCTTATGCTATATTACTAATGGCATTCAATGTCGGCAATATTTCCAACTATTTTTCACTTGTTCTCAGAAATTAAGGCTGTGGAGAGCAAACGCCAAACAGGTAAAACGTTGTTTGTATGTCTGTTCCGGCTGAAAATATGCAATACGGCATCTAAAAATGTTTCGAACAACTATAATTATATTATTATTAACGGGTGATACTCGTAAAATATTTGTTTCAAATATTTATATTATTATCAAGACCGTCGACGAGTCCAACTCGGCGTGCGTCTTGGTAGGTTATTTAAACCTACAAAAAATTATACCAATACATTGCATACCAATCTAAATCTAATTATTTTTACATTCCTAACCATATTCTCTTCAAACCACGTACTATTCAAACTTTACTCTTTTGTCGTATTTCAATTAAGAGGAATGCATGTTACGAAGGACATTTGATTCTATAAAATTGCAACCCCAGCTATTCTTATAGTTATGGCCGATTAGTGACGCCGAGTATACCGTTTTTTCACCATATCGGGGCGTTAAATGTGCCTAGGAGACCACCTACTGCACAAAGGCATCTATAAATACAATAAAATCTGAAAACATACCTGAGCCATATTATGTTCTTTGATCTTACTCCCAGAATTAGAAGCTTTGTCTAAAGTTTACGAGATTATACATGATGTTCAGATAAGGCATCTACCAAGTATGTACAACACAAAAGTGGCCGGGGTGTCAGTATTTAGCAGCTGGTTTATCTGGCAGAACTATACAGAGATATGAACCTTCTTCCAACAGCTGAGAGACCAGAGAGTCGCTAATACGTTTTTAATTTGCCATATTTCGTTTGTGACGTCACAGGCCCGCCAGAATTAATCAGAGTAGTGTCCAATAGTATACAACAAGACCGGGTCTGACTTAGCACCCACGTATCTCGAGTGGCTTTGTAATTGGGTGACATTACAATTTGATGTTGTGATAACCAAAAATATTCGGTTTTTCAACAGAAATATCTAAGTTTAATAAAATTCTAGTTTGACATTCTTAAATTCGGTTCTAATCTTACACTTCACTTGTATTTTTCTGATGACAAAGACTTATTGTAACATTCTGATCCGTATTTCTGGTATGACGTCACAAAATTAATCAGAATAGTGTCTAATACAAATTAATACGGGGGTCTCAAGTAGTAAGTCTAGGTTGCAGACGTAGTATCCGGCTGAAATGCTCATCCTTATTCTGAACTGGGAACTGTATGTTGGATCACAGCCAACAGAATGAGTTTTTGAACCACAGTGGCGACTGGCGAGATTCATTATTTTATTTGTCTTATTTTCTACTTTACTTAGCACATGTCTAGGTAATCGTTGGGATTCTAGTGAAATGATGGCAAGATCAAAAATTATTTATAGTGCTGTTGAAACCATAGAAAGTACGAAAAAGTTGATCTCTAACAAAAGTTGGACCTGAGGTGATGAGCGTTTTTATTATCTGGTGACAATAAAAATAACCAGAACCACCCAAAAGTGCTAAAAACCGCTTTTCTTTGACTTTACCTTAAAAGACATTTTTACGTTCGAATTAATTTTATGGGTGGGGTTTGAACAAAGCTAAAATATTCAAACCCCTTTATCAATCAATGTAAACCTATCATATCACTGACAATCAATCTGATAAACACCCATTTTATCGAGGAGAATATTTAATACAGACAACGGTATCGAAGAGCTCAAAACATAAAATATATTCACATAACACACATTATAAGCCTATATGTATCACTCAGCATTACGGCGACAAAAAGCACTTAATGTTACTCTGAAGAAGGGATGGTTCAATTGAAATGAGAGCTGATACAAAAACATGCGGTAAGCAACCACATACATACAACTCGTTCAAATCAAATCTATCAACCATTCATGATGGATTTATTGAATATAAGATATTGAGTCACTCATCAGCCTCAGAGTCAGATTCACAAGACACGATTTGTTCTAGGGAGGCGAGTAAGCAATGCCTTGATTGCTTTTTGAGGTGGATCTATTTTATTAGTCATGTTAGGACACGTGAGTCGTGATGTGATGTCAGGACTATCGATTATAATATTAAAAGCCATGTGGACGCAATATTGGAATAAACAATACAAAAAGAAACTTACAGTCCGATTATAAACTGTGTTCATGCCCTATCTTAAATTTCGACAAATTTTCCGCTCAGCGAGCAGCAGTCACTGATTGATATGTTGTGCAAACAGTGCAACGGTAACTGATTGATCTGTTGTATGACTAAGAGCAGAGCTAGAAACGAGTTGGAATAAAATCAAAAGGTACATTTCAAGAATTCACTGTGTTTTGCGTAGCACAAATGTAGAAATTGTTTTAGAAGTAAAGCCCAAATCCAGCTCTCCCACACACAAGTTCGTAGCGTCGATATAACCGAGGATAATGTCCATAATTTGTTTATAAGTTAATAGTATAGGTTTGTTAACTGTCCTCTATTTTGGGTTATTTTATAACAGCTTTGATGTTGGGACACTTAAGACACTCTTTTATAAAAGTTATAAGGTTTAACTATGGAAGAGGTGACGGTTACATCAATAGGTTCTTAACAACACTTCGTAACTGGAGAAAGGAGCTGGACAGGGAATCTGAACACAGAACCCGTATGTCGGTTGAGCACTAGGTCATTGTGAGAGCTCAGAGCCACAGCTAACTAAAACTCTAAGTTACTAAAAGCAGCACGCATATTTATATTTATATGGCGTTGTGCCTTTGTTACAGGGGGCGTTTTCGTGGTTATTTTAGGTATTTGAACAAAGTTTCAGGACAACTTAGTTGGAGAAAATTATAAGTCAAACGGGTTGATGTTATAACGTACAACAATGATGAAATCGATTTGCAGCGTAAATTGCACCTAAATGAGTAACTGATAATAAATAATTTCAAATTACAATAATAAAAAGATAGTAAAAATTCGGCAACCGATTATTTACCGTTGAATTAACATTCAGCAAACCCAAGTTTAAAATATCCAGCGATTATGTCATATCTAGCAATATCTAGCAATATCTTGTGCTAAACCGGTCATATTATTATTACTAACATATTCTTTTTTACCACAAGTGGTTAACCATTCATTATATCAGGCTCAGTTCAGAATATGATAATACATCGAACCATAGACCCCAAAAACCCACTCTCATCTCACTCTCATCTGAATATTAAATGTTCCTAGATTATAACTACTAAAGTTCGTCCCTACGGTGAGGTGTATTAAGGAAGGGGTAGTGTCTGACCAGGTGGTTGTGGATCTGATCTGCTGTGCTAGTCTCAATATTAACTCCTTTTATATCCTGAGAAAACATCAGCCGTTACTTATAATAGTCAGAGAGCATGAGGAATGACTGATAACTGATTACTAATATCATAATGAATCCATCATGTATAAAAATAGCTGTCTTGCTTGCCAGCGCTGTGAAATGGTGCACAGGAATAAACCTCCACGAAGGCTGGTACATGATATTTGAGATAAACGATTCAAAAGTTCGGAAATTTAATCGTATATTACCTGAGGTTGTCCAGTGCCTCCGGGGTAAAAGTAGAGTGTAGGGAAGCCGTTAAGTTTAGCTTGATAGCACAGGTTATAGTGCTGGTTACAGTCTACTTTACCAATACCTAGCCTCTCTTTTAGTTTACCAGCTAACTTCTCCATCTCACCAGCAAATCTGTGCCAGGTTAGCTTTTAGGTTCTCAAAGGATATTTTAAAAACCTAATCTAACAGCTTAATTTTAGAGACATTTTTATTTATCTATTTATTCGAATTTCAAGTGAGATGTTAAATATCAAAGAAATTATCGTCAAAGAATTTTCTAAATCTCGAGTTTTTCAGCTCCGTTATAAACCAGATTTTATTAATTTATTAAAATTTCAAGTGAGATTTACTACATCAAAGAACTTATTGATAACTAAGGTTTTCTACCTTTGGCACGGTCCGCATTTAGGCGTATAGAACTCCACTAGCCAAGGACTTTTGGACTTGAGTACTTTATCTACAAAGTTCTTTGGAACCAACGTTTCCTGGGAACGGATTTGTATAAATAAATAATAATAAATAATAGTAATAGAACTATGTTTACAGTGCACTACAATGTAGAATGTAAAAGTACTAAAGGGGTATCCTAAGAAGATTCTTGACCTTTTGGTAGGAACGGATTTGTAATATGTTATCCGGGATATGATTTATTTGCCGCTATGATAATATGATGATAAGACTATGATAATGTGACGCGAGAAGTAAGTTCAAGCTCTGGTATCATGTTAAATCGTGTTCTAAATTAATAACACTCGGGCTCGCCTCATTTTCTGTAGACAAGTATTTAATCAACTCCATAAGCTTATCGTGGGGAACTTCCTTATTTCCGCATTTTTAATTTAATAGTTAAAGTAAGCAACATGCATGAGAACCTTATATTTAAAGGACGCAGTTCCCAGTTTTCTGTGATAGTTGATAAAACGATAAATAACTGAGTTATATACAAACGGTTCGGCTTTTCAATTCGAAAGTTTCGAACCAGTAAAAAGACAATGTCATAACATTTAATTATCACAAACATAGTTACATCATGTGTCATGAATAACTGACCGATTTTAAAAGATTATACCACAACAACTTACCACATCAGAAGGTAGATGAGGCATGGCCCAGCCCTGCAAGTCGTTTAGTTGACCCCATCCCTTGTACTGAGTGAACTTTCCCCGACCCTTACTCCCAGCTCCATATACTTTAACTGCTGGATATCCTCTTATACCTTCTAGTTTACACACCTGAACTACCAGTGTGTTAGGGCATGTTCTTTATTTTAAAGATAGATAAGGAAACACATTTCAAACTTGAATTCTATTTCTATTAGTTTTGTGTTATACACTTGTCGATACAGGTGTATATTGCGTAATAGGTCATGAATTACAAGAGACATAAATTTGAGAATATTGTTAACCTGAGTTTCAACAGTGCAGTCAACTTTAGCAACAAACACATTCTCGAAGTGGTCTAGAGATTTAGAGAACTTGTTCCAGGTAGGTGCTAGTTGTTTACAGGGTCCACACCACGGTGCGTAGTAGTCCACAAACCAAACCTGAAGGAGACAGGTTATAAATATTGACATCGCTGTGCTAGAGCTAAAGTTCATCTACATTTATGAATTTGTTCTACACCTCATAAGGATGGGTCAAAATGATTTCAGTGACAGCCGGACCAGCTTCAATTCTTCGAAATTTTGACTTATTCAAAGGAGAAAGTAAACGAAATGAACCTCATCAGCTTTCTTGTTGTTTATTTTGATAATCCATTGTTCGTAGTCCAGCTGTATGACCGGAGGATTGAGTACATCTTCTATAAATTGTAATATTTCCTCCTTGTTCTTGTATCCGGAGGTGGTGTGTGGTTTACTGGAGTTGTACATTACTGTTGTGGGGTAACTGCTTACAGACATCTGAGGAGGAGGGGGGGTTAGACAAGTTAGATTTCACAACCAATGCTGTAACTTTAAACTAAATAACTGAATACCCGTATCTTGTGGCTAACTAAATAACTAAATAACTGAATACCCGTATCTTGTGGCAGAAGAACTGTACACTTCTAAATTAACTACTATGACTATTATACTATACGTGATAAATCTAGACAGTTTAACTACTTAATGAAACGTCTGTACCGTACCCTTTGACAAAGTTGAGAATGTGCAGCACAATCCACACTGCCAAACACCACTTTAGGCATATCTCGTGCAGCTTTGCGGACTTCAGGTAACAACCGCATACATGGTGGGCACCAGGGCGCGAAGAAGTCAACCAGCGAAGTAGTTTCTGTAATGTGAGGGAAGTGAGCAGGAGTTAGCTCGATTAGAGGGGATAACATTGCTTCTCTGATGAAGATGGCCATGTCTGCTGCGTCTTGTCTTCCTGAGGATGGGTGAGCGTATAACGTAGGAATATCTAGCGTTATTCTCGTTTATTACAGCGATTAGGGATATCAATACATTGATCAAACTGAAATAATCTAAGAGAGAAGAAATCACATATTCTAATCTACAGTACAGCTAGCAGCTGTATAGCTAGCTACACAACAGCTGCCCCCCCCCCCCCCTACAGTACAGCTACGCAACAGGTTATTAGTAAGATCAATGATCACAAAAACTGACAGCACATTTATAGTACAGACAGATCCGTCTAAAAAAATCGATTTGCCGACACACAAAGCTTACAAAGGATTTTTGACGTTTTTGAGTCCTAATAGGTGTCCTTTATGGCTGACCAACTTTTCCAAACTTTTCCACGTGTCTTAAGGCCACTTTTTGCCACTTTACCACTTTTTACCACCTTTTTTGTTTGTCAAATATCTTTAGTTGTGAACATCGTAGAAACTTGCAGATTAAACGAGGGTGTTCATATTATCAAGAAGAAAAACTTTTGTGGAAACAATTTTTTCCTCAGATAATCAATTAATTGGATAATTATCAATTAACTAATTAGCAAAAATTTAAAATTTTTTTATTGGCTCAAAATGATTGGAATAGCTTGAAACACGGAGAAAAGTAGTTTTTAGAAAAATTTCGAAAATTTTTCACTTACATTTTTTTTTCAAGACTTGGAAAAAATTTTCGAATTTTCGAAATTTTTTTCGCCAAAAGTTATCAAATTGCATGAAACGTGGAGAAAAATGCTTTTTAAAAAACGTCGTGAATTTTTGTTTTCAAGAATACTAAAATCACTTATATTTGTAGTTGGAGTTCAGTAAATCTTGACAGATTTTAGTAATCAGGACTTCAGGAATTATTAAATCGAAATAGATAAAAGGACTGAAACTGAGAAACGTTAACCACAGGATATTAGAGTTTTATAATTGATTACATTATATCCTTATCGATTTTTACAGAAACTGCACCAAAGGCACATTTAAGATCGAACCGATAGCCTGCTGTACTACGATAGTATGTAATAAATAAAACATCTCTGAGTCTGTACCGTCAATCGTGCTAATCTGAACTAGCCTACCTGGATTATCATCTACCTCTTCTTTTCATCAATAATTAGACCGAGTTGTGCAAGAAATATGATTTATTATAGCTCATATTGCATTTAGTGGGTGATGTAAGTACTTATCGAGCTGTATTCAATCAAAATAGTAATATACGACACAATACCTTTGTATTAAATGGCCCTTAATGCGGTATATGAAACGCTTTATACCTCGATAGACCCGGTATAGTTTATCACGAAAACGTCTACTTGGCCTCATGGCTCATTTACAGCTCGAAGAAGGCAAGAAGACTGAAGAGACCATGGATACCAAGGAAGAGCTAGGAAGTAGGAAACAAGTGTAAATACACCTTCCAACATCTATTGTGACTTGTTTTCTATTGTTCTGCATACCACTTCATTCGCTATGCGAGATACCTCATATCTCAAATCACACCCATAGGTCAGGGTTGGCTAAATTCAAAAAGAATAATATATGAGCAAAGGTAAGATCTAGATACGAGCGTCGGACATGGGCAAGAGCAGTGGGGTAGTAAAGAAACGGTAATGATTATGTTGGTTTGCAATCTGGATGTTGTGAAGTAAAAAGACAGGTTCTTGCCGCAGGATATTTGGGGGCCATGATTATAAGCTCGGGATCAATGTGGGACGGATCAAAGAACATTAAAATGAGCGAGTTGACGTTTTAGGCTTTCTGATGTTTTCTTGCCTTCTTCGAGCTGTCAATGAGCCATGAGGACAAGTAGAAATTTTCGTAATACAGTAAAACCTCTCTATAACGGCCTTTCGCAGGAGAAACGAGAAGTGTACGGTATAGTCTATAGATTTATAGAAACACCCCGATAAAGAGCGCTTCATATACCACATTAATGGCCATATGATGTACACATATTGTGTTTTATTGTGATAGTGTGATTGAAAACAGCTCGATATTATTTACAGACCCATCAAATGCGATATGACTTATATTGCATTTGGTGGGTGATGTAATTATTATGAGCTATAAGAAATCACATTTCTTGCACAACTCGGTCTAATTATTGATGAAAAGAAGAGGTAGATGATAATCCAGGTAGGCTAGTTCAGATTAGCACGATTGACGGTACAGACTCAGAGATGTTTTATTTATTACATACTATCGTAGTACAGCAGGCTATCGGTTCGATCTTAAATGTGCCTTTGGTGCAGTTTCTGTAAAAATCGATAAGGATATAATGTAATCAATTATAAAACTCTAATATCCTGTGGTTAACGTTTCTCAGTTTCAGTCCTTTTATCTATTTCGATTTAATAATTCCTGATTACTAAAATCTGCCAAGATTTACTGAACTCCAACTACAAATATGAGTGATTTTAGTATTCTTGAAAACAAAAATTCACGAAGTTTTTTAAAAAGCATTTTTCTCCACGTTTCATGCAATTTGATAACTTTTGGCGAAAAAAATTTCGAAAATTCGAAAATTTTTTCCAAGTCTTGAAAAAAAAATGTAAGTGAAAAATTTTCGAAGTTTTTCTAAAAACTACTTTTCTCCGTGTTTCAAGCTATTCCAATCATTTTGAGCCAATAAAAAAATTTTAAATTTTTGCTAATTAGTTAATTGATAATTATCCAATTAATTGATTATCTGAGGAAAAAATTGTTTCCACAAAAGTTTTTCTTCTTGATAATATGAACACCCTCGTTTAATCTGCAAGTTTCTACGATGTTCACAACTAAAGATATTTGATAAACAAAAAAGGTGGTAAAAAGTGGTAAAGTGGCAAAAAGTGGCCTTAAGACACGTGGAAAAGTTTGGAAAAGTTGGTCAGCCATAAAGGACACCTATTAGGACTCAAAAACGTCAAAAATCCTTTGTAAGCTTTGTGTGTCGGCAAATCGATTTTTTTAGACGGATCTGTCTGTACTATTAGCTACACAGAGGTTTAATGAGAAGGATTGTGGTTCAGATCGCCATGCACACTTTACATTGATTAAAACCTGTACTAGCAAATTACGATTGACACCCCAAAATGTATCTTTGTCGCTGAATTTTAATAAAAATATGTCAACCTGTGTTTAAATTTGGCAATTCAAGCTTTTAAGTAATGAATATAAAATACAGATTTGTGTTATGGAATATTGCTCACCATGGTATCGTTCGTATCCTCCGTCTTTCAGTACAAAGAGAGTAGGATATCTAGTGACAAACATGTCACCACATAGTTTGGAGTATGTATTACAGTCTACTTGATATGGCTGAAAAATATTTGAATTTATGGATTAGATTTTGAATTTGCTCATCTTTTTAATTAGACGACGAAATTATACGAGCAAATGACGGAATAACAGCCACAAAAAACTGCGAAAATCGGA